CACATTTTTATATATATGTTTATTTTGACTGTTCACCACCCTGAGTCCTTCGGGAGAAGGGCGGTATAAAAATTAAATAAATAAATAAATAAATAAATAAATAAATAAATAAATAAATAAATAAATAAATAAATAAATAAATAAATAAAATAAATAAATAAATATGTATTTATGAGAGTTGCAGTATCCTGGGCTCATGTGATCACCTTTTGCGACCTTCTGACAAGCAAAGTCAATGGGAAAGCCAGAGTCACTTAACGATCGTGGCAAGACAGGTCGTAAAATTGGGCAAAACTCACTTAACAGCTGTCTTGCTTAGTAACAGACATTCAATTGTGATCATAAATCAAGGACTGCCTATAGCAGTGATGGCTAACCTTTTCCGGACTGAGTGCCCAAAGCGCATGCACCCGAACCCTCAAAATGCAATGTGCGTGTGGCCCCAAGCATGCACTCCCCCCATATATGCGTGCGCAGCCCCTGCATGTGCCCTGCTCCCCGCATCCGTGCGGGGGCCCCCGCATGTGCCCCACCCCTGCATGCGCACATGCCCCGCCCCCCACATTCATGCACACCCCTGCACATGCCCCACCCCCTGCGCATGTGCGACAGAGACCCAAAGATCAGCTGCCTGGCAGGAGGCGCGCACGCATGTGCAGTGGAGCTGAACTGGGGTGACAGCTCACATGCCATCAGAAAGGGGGCTGCGTGCCACCTCTGGCACATGCGCCATAGGTTCACCATCACGAATCTATAGTATATAATGTCTGGTGGGCTTTAGGAGCCAAATCAAGACTGTTAGAAACTGTACAAGATCCTGGCATCAGTAGTTCCTCTGTGTTTAAGACTAAGGAAACATCTGATGAATCACTACAGTCTTTGGTTTTGGCACACAACAGCTACATCCCATATCCAAATATATTGTCCCTCTCCCCCTTTCTTCTACACATTCATGATGAAATTTGATTCAGTCAGAATCCGCTAGATAACAGTGTGGTTGGCAGAAACTGTACGCACATTAACACCCAACTCTAAATTTAGATTCTGCTTTCTATTTATTTTTAGCTATGACAGATGCCCAACTAATAATTGTGATTCTACATTTAGTTAACTTTCACATGACCTGCTGAACCATTGTGAGTTATTTCTAAGTTGGCAAGTATTATTTGAAAGTTATATAGGTGGTCCTCGGTTTACAACCATTCATTTAGTGACTGAAGTTCTACTTCAACTTAGTACTTGAAATTACTTAGAGACTGCATTACTTGGAGCCTGACAGTTACATTGGCCCTGAAAAAGTGACTTATGACTGTTTATCACACTTATGACCATTACAGCATCCTGATGGTCATGTGATCTAAATTTGGATGCTTGGCAGCTGACTTGTATTTATGATGGTTGCAGTGTCCTGGGGTCATGTGATTATCTTCTGCAACCTTCTGGCAAGCAAAGTCAATGGGGAAGCCACGTTCAATTAACAACCATATTACTAATTTAACAACTACAATGATTAACTTAACTGTGGTAAGAAAGATCATAAAATGGAGCAAAACTCACTTAACATCTGTCTTGCTTAGCAACAGAAATTTTGCTCTCAATTGTGGTCGTACATTGAGGACTACCCTGAACATCTTTAGATACTTGAAAAATCAGAAGTTACTTTCAACCCCTGATCTTCTGTCTCTTTTCCCATTCCTTTGTCATCCACTTTTTAAGCATTAAGTTAAATCAGTTTGACATAAATAATGTGAAGATAAAGGCTTCTGTAGAATTACAGATGTAACTATTGTGGAAAACAGCTACTGCTGAATATATTGTGCAAAGAGATTTGTTAGACGTTCCAATTTGGTTCAAATGAATCAAGTTCTATACGTTTTTCATAAACTAATCAAATGCTGTCAGTTAGTGACTGTAAGCAGTATCTGATGAATGGTATGTATACCTGCTTCATTAATAAGAAGCAAATATTGTCAATATTGTATAAAGTTGTGTATTAAATACAACTAATTTCCTTTTAAGTCTTGAAAACATCATCTGGAAGAATAGCTTGCAATTTCAACTTGATGAATCTCACGGAAACTCTTTGGGGCAAATAATTCCTTTTCACTCTATTTCAGCAAGAATTGACCATGATGATAGGTTGCACTAAAATCTATATATTACTAAAATTCTTGTATCTATAACCTTTAACTAGACAAAACGGTGCATCATAAGGCAAGATTTTTAAAACCAAGGTACCTCATATAGGTAAACTTACAGAATGTGACCAAAATCCAGGGGCCCATTACTCTTAGGAAATTGAAATTTGGCAAATTTTATCGACATTTTATAACATAAAAGTTATCATAAACCATTTTATGGCACAATATAAAATGCCATAAAATATTCCCTGTGGTTAACTCCTGCTGTTTGACTATGCTGAACACGAGGTGCTTTCAAGGCAGGTACATCTTTGAATATCTTCCTGAATTTTAAAGAAATTTTCCAGTGAAATTAGCATATTAGAAGCTCTGCTATTGTTGAAGACATTGAGGAATGCAGTAAGAAATATCTCTGAAATGATAGCCCAATGGGTCAGGGCTGTCTAGTTACAGTGTGTAAATTGTAACCTTTATGGATTACATTGGCAGATTTGAAAGCAAATTGATTCATATTATCATCTTTGGTAACAATGCCCCGTTAGTCCTTTTGTTGAAAATTTTGAAGAAATGGGGAAGATCATTCAGCAATCTTTCAAATGAACCTCCTGTTAATTTATTGTCCATATTGCCTAGGGAACATAAATTGACTGAATAGAAGAAATCAATTCTTGCTGTTAGTTGTCACGTTTCTTACTGCAAAGCGCTACCCTTCACTGGAGCAGTAGTGTTTACAGGTGTGAGTTATTTGCTGTGGCTGAATAATAAATACAACAACATAAATGCAAGAAAGATAAGTTTACTCAAATGGTCAGTTATTATTTTAACCATATTTTCTTAGTTGATTTCCCTTGTCGTCTATACAAATTTTAGTCTGTATGGAAATACGAATAAGGATATTTAAAAAGTACAACTGCAGGCACTAATATTGTACCTGTGAGTTGGGTGAGGGAGCTAGTCAAAGTGCTCTTAAACTGATAAGAGATGATGCTGTTAAAAACAATGAAATATGCAAAACTGCAAATGTCTGTGAATATCCCTGCTGAAAAGCAAAACACTTAAAAATTAATCACCCTTTGAAAATGGTTGCTTGTCTGGTAAATTTTAACATTTTTTATAATTTTGTAATTCCCCATTCCACTTATCCCATATATTTATTTGTGATATACAGTACATTCACAAATAATGTATATCATAAATAAATATCCAGGACTGGTTTCAGTTGAAGCTACAGGTACCAACCTTAAGGTGACAAAGTGGGAAGCCGGACACATATTTTCATCTGTTATACACAAACACACCTGTCCACCGATAAATAAATGTCCACTCTTTCTTTTAGGGATATTCATCTTTAATTCAATTGTCATTCAAATAAATAAATGGATATGTACTTTCAAGCATTTGTTTTTCTTTCTTTTGTTTGAAGTTTTTTTTTTCTAACAATGGATTATTTAGTTCTCTCATGTTGTTTCTTTAATAAAAGGTGGGGGGGGGAAGCAACGATTTATGCTTTGTTCTTCAGCCAATACAAAAAAGGCAACCAAAGCAGCTCACAAATATCAATAGTAAGGAAGTCCCTGCCTGCAGGTATATACTATTTTTCTGAAGATTGCTGAAGTCACTGAACTTCACAATGCATTTTTAAGGCTGCAGCAAAGAAGATATCTCTTCTGTACTGAAGTACCAATATACATATTATTAATTTAGAATTTTGAAAGTAATATGTTATGACTATATGAAAATCACTATTGAATTTTGATTTAATTTGTGCTGGATTTTTTCAGCAACCCTGACTTAACTGGATCAATAAACTGGTTTGGTACAGTAGTTTTCTGTTTTGTTTTCTCTTGCAAACACAATAGGATGCTTGGATGAGACCTGCATTCTTCTATTCATGCCCGCCATAGCTCATCTTGATTCATTCTGGTTGAGCTCCTTACCCTGCAATTGTAAATTAATCTGAAAGTGTACATGCTACTACTATCTATTGTTTGGTCCTCAGTGGTACTTACAGGGCAGAAATGTAGGCCCTCATTAGCAGATGATTGGGAATTTCCCCGATACAGAAAAACTAGTTTCCTATATAAAATGTTCTTCTCCTTTAATTTTAGTTCAAAGCTTTACAATTCCCTGCTGCCCCACCAAGCTTCCCCTTCTCAGTCTACCCTACAATTTGAGATTGATTATTTTGCCAAAAATCATTAGGTTTGTATGAAGTGCTCTAGTTATGAAAGAAGGAATGTGTATAATACTTTAGCTCCAGTGGTGGAATTCAATTCTTTTTACTACTAGTTCTGTGGGTGTGGCTTGGTAGGTGTGGCTTGGTGGGCGTGGCAGGGGAAGGATACTGCAAAATCCCTTGGGAGTTGGGCGGCATAGAAATATGATTAATTAAATTAAATTAATTAAATTAAAATCTCCATTCCCACCCCACTCCAGGGGAAGGATACTGCAAAATCCCCATTCCCTCCCCACTCTTGGGCCAGCCAGAGGTGGTATTTGTCGGTTCTCCGAACTACTCAAAATTTCCGCTACTGGTTCTCCAGAACCTGTCAGAACCTGCTGAATTTCACACCTATTTAGCTCTTTCCATATGTGTAATATGCAGCCATATATTAATCAAATCAGGGTCAGCACGTATTTTTTAGACTACCAGAATATGGGATGCAAAAATCCAGAAACTGCTAGATGGCAGCAAAGCAATACAACTCCAACTCCCTGCTGCCATTCAGTGGTCCTCCGAATTTTTGCAGCCCTGATTGGATATCTATTTATGTACAAATTCTCCCTTTGTTTTGGAGTACTGCCCCTCTCCCAAAAGAAACATTACCTATGCACTTCATTCTCACTTTCTCTCTCCAGATTTCCATTGACTGGAATATGAAAAAGGGTCTAAGGAGGCCCTTTGGAGAAGGAAACCCAGCCCCAAACCTGAAGTAGCTGCCACTGCCTCTGTGGCTCCATTCTTGTTGCTGTTCTTTTCTACCAGGAGACAGGTCTGCTCCTCCAGGCTGCTGCTGTCACCTTATCTTCGCTGAAGCCATTTGATGGAGGATTATTGGAGAACATTTCCTGGACTCCCAGTGGCCAAATAAGAAGGAAGAAGCTTAAATCTTCATCCTATTGCTTCCATTTGGTGGCATCCTTGGCCAGACAATAATGGTTCAATATAATTCCTAATCTTTCCTGGTGTTTAGCTGTCTGAACTCTACTTCTGTTTAAAGTCTGCATGGTTCCACTTCTTATTTTATTCCCTCAAGCTTTGCTGTGTCACTTTACCTGCTCTTCTCTAATGTTCAAAGTAATATATTTGGCTTGGTGGTAATTACAAGTTTTTCAAGAAGTGATACAGATATGAAATAACTGTAGTCCACCGGCCTTCTAAGGGCTTTGAAGGAAGCGATTATCATTGCAATAAAAATATGATTTCATTAGAGTGTAAAGCATCAATTTTCCATTACTGATGAAATATATAGCAATTGAAAAAAAAAAAAGATTCTGCTGTCCAATTTGCTTAGATCCAAAAACCAGAATATTGATTTCCTCAGTCTCATTGCACATCCAGATTTAAGCTAATCCTATGCCTCTTTTGGAGATGTCCAAATAAAGCTCTGTATGATGCTATTTTTAATAAATAAATCAACATAGGCATAGCATATGATTGTATTCTCTGTCCAGTTAATTACCTTGCTAATGTGGGTGGTTCACTACTGGGAAATACAACAATGGGTATTAACACTGAAGCACCATTTCAACAATTAAAAAAGCTTCATGCAACCTTTTTAACAGGGAAGGCCTCTTCACCTAGCCTCATGCAGAAGTGAGTTAACAGATTCATAGAATTCAAAAGGTGTACTTTTATTGATGGCTCCAAAGGAATCCTTAGTGGCTTGTAACAATGGTTGCAGCTACAACTGATTGTTCTGGAGCCTCCTTTCATAAATAGGGACTTCAGCTGGCAGAAGGGCAGGGTGCTGGACCAAAGCAATGGTGTAAATGTAGGGAAAGAGCACTCCCCCCCACCACCCCTCACCAGCAAGCAAGCGGGCAAATCCAGCCCTTGTAACTCTTATGGCTGGATTTGCAACAAATTATTACTATTACTCTGGATGCTGCTTCCAGATTAGCCTCCCCACTCCGCTATGAACCGAAAGAGAATTGGGATGGCTGAGCTAGTCTGTCTTCTTTTTGTTTTGTTTTGTTTTCTCTGGCCTGCTAGCCTTTGGGCGGCCTTGGGAATCTCCCTGCTGCTATCCCAGGCCAGAAAAAGTTTGCTCTGGTCCCCGCCGTCCCATGTTAAACAGCTGCTGCTTCTAGAAAGAGAATAACTGCAAGGAAAGTCTCTTGGAAGTCTTGTTTCTTTACAAGCCTTAACTGTTCAAAGATGGAGCCAGACCAAATCCGAACAGCTGGAGACTGGACAGGGACACAAAGTCTTCCCTATGTGTGGACAAGACAGCAGCAGTCCTTCTTCTTTTGCCTTTTTGACTCTCCACGAACCCCAGGAATTAAGAGAGTCTGGAGGGCGAATAATTTACCCGGGGTAATTAAGTTTATTACTGTGGGCAGGGACACCTTTTAAAAAAAAATGTAATGTGATGATATCTATACTTGGGGGCATCTACACTGCACAAAACAGCGCACGGGGACAATCCGACCCTTCCTCAAGCGGACCGCGGTGGGGCCTTTGATTAAAAGCTTTATGTCAACGATCTCAACGCGGCACACGGATCGATCCGCTCCATTCCTCTTCCCACGCCAGCCCTCATCTCCATACGATCGATACGATTTAAGCAATTACAAGAAGTCTGGAAAAACCCTCCGATGCCTTCCTTCTCTGCTCCAGGCCCCGGAAGGCGCGAGGTGGAAAGCCTATCCAGAGAGGCCCGGCCGAGGGGCTTTGGCTTCTTCCTGGGAATCCGTATGGAGCCGTGGGAGAGGCCTCGGCCCCTTTAATCCCTTCAAAGGGCTCCCGACGCGATTCAAAGTCTTTACAACTCTTTGGAACCCTTGGCGAGGCCGAGGGTTGTTTGGATAGGAAGGCCAGATAAAGATATCTCTCCCTCCCTCCCTTCTCCCTTTCTCTTTCGCGGTTGGACGGCCCCTTAAAAAGGTTTCAGTGGCAACGCGAAAACAATTGAATGCGGCCACTGCGGGGCGGCTCAGGTTACCTGGGGAAAGTAACAGAAATGTCATCTAGCGGCGGGGAGGAGCAAAGGGCTGCCTCCCGCCTGTGCCCGCCCCCGCCCCCTTCCTCTTTCCCGAGATGCCCTTACAGTACAAAGCTCCTCTTCGGCACGTGGCTCAACTTCAGCTCGATTCCCCCAAAGAAGGCGGCGGGTCTTTAGCCAGGCCGGGCGCAGAGAGAGAGAGAAAGAGAGAGATTTTCTCCTTTCTCTTGGAGCAATCGCTCAGGAAAGTCGCCCCGGCCCTTCGTTAGCCTTGCCGCTGTTTTTCAAGTCAGCGCGCCCACTTAAGAAGTAACGAATCGAGTGGAAATCGGGACACACAACCCAACGACAGCAGCTCTCCGGTCAACTCTTGGAGACGCGCCTGCCGAAAATGGAAAGCGCGTGAAGGCTGGAACAGAGCAGCCTTTAAAAAAAAAAAAATTGACAATAAAGAAAACGCAGCTCCGCTTCTGAAACGAAACAATCGAGAAGTTTAACTAGATCATCCGAAGAAGGCGATGGAAATGGTCGCGATGGATGGGGTGGGTGCGTGTTTTGCAGCCCAACTCGCCATCCGAGGGAACTTGAAGGAATCGAGGGTCTCACCGCGGCAGCCTCTTTGAGCGTCACCCACTTTACTTAGAAGGACATCTTTTGAATAGGTTTCATTTCAGAGTGTAAAGTTCATGTATTTCTAATACTGGGCGGCTTTCTTGCTCTATAAAATCAGAGAACTGAAGGTCTTTGTCGCCAGAAAATTTGGACATCACTATCTAAAGGGGTCACTTTCAAAGTATTAACTAAGTAAATTGCACCACTGTTTTGTAGTTTTTTAATAAAAGCAAAAGCAAAAACAAAAACCAATGGAACCGAGATCAAACACGCCTTTCCTTTTATTATTTACAGGGGGAATAATCACATATATCCTCTGGCTAGAGAAAAATACATAGCCACTCAATGCAAACTTTTATATTGGGTCCAGGTGTCCCTCCAGTGAACTTTTGGCAAGTTTATTTTTAAAAATGGAGCAACTAGACTTACTGAGTCCCATCCAAACAGACGGTCTAGAGGCAAATATCCGTGAGATATAGCAAAAGACGTATTGTCTAAGACTCCGAGGCAAATTTTTAATCGCGATATACGTATTTCAGACTTAAGAAATGGGAAAGCAAGAAGAAAGCAAATGGTTTGGGCAAGATACAATGTCTTGAACGTCGAGTGCGAGTCTCCAGGCGGTGAGAGTCCCTTTGATCAAGAAAATCCAATTATTTGTGTATATACATTTCCCACATAGTGATTACTTCATTAATTGTCCCGCCTTTATCTCCTCCCTTCCCATCCCCCCTAATAATCAGTTCTTTTATCCAGACCAACAAACACACCATAGGAGCTTTGTGGATTCAAAGGATTTGCTTTCGCTTCTGAAAGAGCCGCTATTCTTTGATGATTGGGCAGCGGCAAACTTCAAAGCCATAAATCTTCCTCCTGACTGGCTGGCGGCCCAGCAAAGTCCTTATCAAATTCTTGGAGGTGATCCTGGTGCAGTCAGACAGTCCGCGGAGATCGCGCTGAGCCCGGGCTGGCCGAGACTAGCAGAAGTCGGCGAGGGGGAGAAGAAATCGAGCGGAGGGCAAGGGAACCGGGCAGCTTTTCAGCTGCCTCTTGGCGACTTTATGTCGCGGCAGTGGCCCTCCGGCCTCTTCTCCCTCCGGACGCGATAGCCATGGCCGCGGTGGCCGTCCTCCGGAACGACTCCCTGCAGGCGTTTCTTCAGGTTAGTCCCTAGTTGAAGGCGGAGGGTAGAATACCGGGAGCCTCCTCCGCTTCTCCCGCGACAATATTGGAATGTTCGGGCGACAAGATTGGCGGGAGGCCACAAAGCGGGAAGCTGGCGAGTGTTTAGGGAAGTGGGGGGCAGCTCACTAGTGGCCATCGGAAAAGTTACAGGGTTGATTGCGCCTGTAAAATAGACAACTGAGCAGATCCCCTGATCCCTGGGCTCCCCCCCCCTTTTTTTTTTTTTTTTAAATCCACTTTTGAACAAGAAAAAAACTTTTCCCGGTCTGCTCTCTCTCCCCACGAAAGATTCTCTACAATCAAGGGCTCGCAACTGCATCTAAACCCCGCCCTCCCTTTGCCAAAAGCTATTGTCCTGAGCTGAACGGTCTGACTTGAGTCGTCGGAAGTCGTCCAGAGTGATTGGCAGGCGGGGAGGAGGCAGCTTGGGCGTGAGGGTCCCTCTCTTCCAGCGGGGTTGGCGGTGAGGTTTCCCAAGTTGGCACCAAGCTGAAGTGGGCGGGATGAGAGCGAGGCAGCACCGCGGGCTCGCTGACTCCGGGCATCCCAGCTGCGGTTCATTGTCTTCCGAGCAACGCCCCGCCCAGATGCCGGGCTCAGCAACTGGTACTTAGCGCCTGGCAGTAAACTTTTTTGAGATGCTGCCTGGCATCCAGCAACGGGCGATTGCTGCTAGGCGGAGAGGAAGAGGCCCGAAGGGACCGAGATTAACCGCCTCTCTTTCTCCACTTTTTGCCGCAGGATCGGACCCCCAGCGCCTCTCCGGACTTGGCCAAGCACTCACCTCTGGCTCTCCTGGCCGCCACCTGTAGCCGCATCGGGCAGCCGAGCGCGCCGGTCGCTCCTTCGGATTTCCTGCAGGTCTCCTACGAGACAAGCTTGGGCTCCCCGTCCAGGATCTTTCACCCGTGGAGCAGCGAAATGCCAGCCCACTCCCCGGGCGGACTGCCTCCCCCGCCGCCGAGCCTCGGGCTCACTCCGCAGCCGGCTTTCGCGGCCGGCCACGAGCTGCCGCTGACGCCCCCCGCGGATCCCTCGTACCCTTACGAATTCTCGCCGGTCAAGATGCTCCCGGCTTCCATGGGCGCCCTCTCCTCCGCCTGCCCCGCGCCGGCTTATGTGCCCTACGCCGCCCAGGCGGCCCTCCCGCCCGGCTACTCCAACCTGATGCCCCCGCCGCCCGCCCCTCAGTCCTGCAGGCAGCTCTCGCCGGGGCCCGAGGACCTCCCTTGGTGGAGCATCCAACAGGCGGCGCCAGGGCCGGGCACTTGCGCACATCGCTTCGCCGGCGGGTTGCAGCGCGGGCTGGTCTTGGCGCCCTCGGAGCTGGCGCAGTACCAATCGCAGCTGGCCGCCCTGCTGCACCCCAAAGCGCCCCTGGCGGCCACGGCCAGGAGGTGCCGCCGCTGCCGCTGCCCCAATTGCCAGGTGGCAGCAGGCAACGGACCCGACGCCACCGCCGAGCCCGGGAAAAAGAAGCAGCACGTGTGCCACGTCCCCGGCTGCGGGAAGGTCTACGGCAAGACGTCGCACCTCAAGGCGCACCTGCGCTGGCACACGGGCGACCGGCCCTTCGTCTGCAACTGGCTCTTCTGCGGCAAGAGCTTCACGCGCTCCGACGAACTCCAGCGGCACCTGCGGACTCACACCGGCGAGAAGCGCTTCGGGTGCGCCGAGTGCGGCAAGCGCTTCATGCGCAGCGACCACCTGGCCAAGCACGTCAAAACGCACCAGAACAAGAGGCTCAAGGCCGGCCTCGGCCTCGGCCTCCCTGGGGTCGACGGACGCGCTTGCGCAATCAAGCGAGAGGAGTCGCGGGACTTGTGACCTGTTGCGGGGTGGGTTTGTGCTGAGGCGCTTTTGCGCTCCCTCTGCTTTCCTCAGCCGCCCCCTTGCAGGCCGCTTCTCTTCCCGAGAAAAATTCCACTTCAGCCCCATTCAGATTCTGAACATTTCGGGAACAAGCGGGAGAGCTTGTTTGGAGACCATTAAAAGAGGAGCTGTGACACACACAGCACACACACACACACGGAAAATTTCCGAAGTCTGGCACCTTAGAGGCTTGCTTGTCAGATAGATTTCCTTTAAGAAGCAATTGGGAAATCCTTGGTCAGGAGACTTAAGGGATTGATGGTTTTCCTTGGATTCCAATCTCAGCCCTGGGGAATAAACTGCCCCCCATAGACCTCGTTTTGTGTGATTTGAAGTGCAGCCATGAAACCCATCTGTGGATTTGGAACTGCTCTGTGGATCTGAGATTAGCCTTCTGTGAAGAGGTTTTGTTTTTCCTTTGGATCTCCCCCCCCCTTTCCCCCCCTCCCTTTTGAACTCCATATTAAGGCTATCATGGGATCTCATCTTCCATCCAGCTTCCCCAAAGGATTATGGCTTCATTGGCAATTGCTTGTGGCCAGGAGATAGTGGTCCCACCTTCAACCCACATTTGGAAACATCTGGCCATAATGGACTAGAATGCTTTTTTTAAAAAAAAAATAGAAACAGCAGCATAAGCCTGGTTATAGAGTGTCTTGGTATAATTTTTTGCCTTGTGTTTAGTTGGGGAGAGATCAGCCCTTTGTATACAGTTTTGGATAAGATCATTACCCCTTCCGTCCCCCCTTATTTTTATACTTGATTCCCATATAGGGACTACACCATGAGAAGTTTGAAGCGACACACAGTGCGTCAGCATGCTAAAATAAATGCATCAACTCTGGGGTCATATTGGGAAGATCCCACTGAGCTGATTTCCTCTGGTTGTTTATTTCTTCTGAAACTTTTCGAACATATACCACTAACCTATTTTAAGTGTTTGTTTCACCTCAACAAATGTCCCATTTAGATGGAGAACACCTTAGTATGAGGTCCCATCTGCAGCTCATATTATTAAAACTCAGCATTGTAAAGATCACCTATATTTTCCTTGTGGAATATATTGTAATGGTATAAAATGTGTGACTTTTTATTGCTTTAGCTATTATTTTTTAAAACAATTGCTGATCAGAGTTGTAACATTCAAACATTACAAGGAAACAATAATGTGTATACCTTGTTTGCATCCCAGTTGAAAACTGCCAAGTACAAGGAGCTTGATCCAAAATGAGAAACAAATCAACTACTGTATAATTATATTGAAGGGATTTATGTTTAGTGGTGTTAAAATCGGCAAGGCTTATTTCTGTGTAATAAGAACCACCAGCCAAAGTTATTTTGTTTAACTTCTATTGTCTTCATTGGGCTTAGGAGTTGCAAGATCATGCTTAACAGTCGAAAAAGCAGCATACAGTATGACTTTTAAGAAGAAATATTATATGGCAGCATAATACTATAGGAATATGGTTTGTCAGATTTTTTGCCATTTTTGTTCAGTCTTCTGCACTGCGAAAATTGTTTCACAATTTAGAAGATTTCAAGTTGAAAATCAAGAAAATCAAATTTGAAGTTTCTTTTTAATTTCCAGATGTCAGAATAAAGATGCAATTTTGTACCATGAGCGCATAATTTGGGGAGTTACATCTTCTAAGTGCTCCTAACGCACATAGAAAATATCCAACTTTTTCTGAGATTTTATTTTATATTTCTATATTATATAAACATTTATCAAAGCAGTGACAGCCCCTAAGTGTTCGTCTTGTAAAGCCTGCAAACTTTCAGATCACAACCCTGTAAATTTGTAATATAAATATAATAAAAAAAGGAAAATTCCATATTCTTTGAAAAATAATTTGTCAACTACATCTTAAAATAAAGATTTTGCTACAAACTAACATGCATTCTCATTTAAAGTACAAAACAAAATTCCAGTTGGAGCTTTCTGAATAAAGTTCAAGCTTGTGTTCCCAGTTTTCTACTCTATATTGTAGATTTGAAAGTAATTGTGGACACCCAGCATCACAGTGAATGTTCTAGGACTATGGTACTAGTAGAAATAGCCATCTGAAATAGAATTGTTTAGTTACTTTTGCAATTTTATTATTGTTTTAATGCAAACATTTGGCAAATCGTATAAGCAGCAGGATGAATTTGTTTTTAAGGTACTACATTGGGTTAAGCAATTTAAAAGAGAAAATTGCCAAAGCTCATCTGCGAAGTTGCCATTTTTACTAGCTGCGCAGTCTAGAAGATCCATGGGAGTAACAACACTAAAACTTATTCCATATAGCCTTCAGAAAAATGTAATTAGTTTTAAATCTGGAAGGGCACACTGTTTTAAACTAGATTACTTGGGATTATTTTGCAATATTGCCTTCTAATAAAATATGTTTAACTTTAATACAAATGCTTTCTAATCTATGAGACAATATTTTTTCAATGTTTACATCTCTTCTGAGATGAATGTGAACATTAGAGATTGAGAGTGAAATTATGGTGCAAGTTAAAATATAGTGTCAAAGGAATTTATTTTCAAACAGATGGGAATATTAGGAATTTAGGATTGTATTTTAAATGCAGAATTGATTGGATTAAAGTATGTATGGTAAATTATAATTAAATATTAATTCATTTAGTCTTGTTCCAGTACTGGCAATTTATATCATTTTGTTAGTAGCACTGTGCTTTAGTAAATTATGTATAATAGTTGCAGTTTTACCAGTACATTTTACAATTCAATTTTATACATGCTTACTTACAAGTAAATTTTGTTACTGTATTTTCAGTGAAGCTTATTCTTATGAATTACAGTCCTAAGGAGATATACAGCAGTTATTTTTTAAAATATTTCTGATTTTTTACAATATACAATAGTTGTTATCCTTTTCAATCTAATAAGGAGGCAGGTTGATTGTATTTTTATTTGAAGAACATATTTTTTTAAATATATAAAGAGTATAATCCTTTTAATATATATTCTAAATAGGATACTTCTTTAGGTTTATCTTTTATGAGATGCATACAGGATCCTATATTTTCCCTAAATGGATGTCTTCCATCAGTATTAGCTAGCATGCTCATGCAACTTGATAATGGTAATTTCTGGAGAAAATTATATTGTGCAAAGCAGTGTTAGAGAATAAGTGTCTTTTGCACATAGGACTTGCTTTTAAGAAGCCACTGATCTGCACTACAAATTATCCTATGTAACTGAGTAAGACCACATGTTACACGTATGACACAAATCAATTAAAATCAACTATGTCAAACTGATTAGATTGGGAATGTTTAAAGCAAATACTTCAGTTGTATATTTAAATGAATGGATGTAACTGTGTAGGATATTTAAATCAGCAATCCGCAACCTTTCTGGGATGGCGGCCTAATGCGAGGGGGGGAAGAGAGGATGGTTTTATGCAAGTGGGGCTGTAAGTGCAAATTCCCGCCGCTCACATGAGTGGGGCTGCACGCTTGAGCACCTGCCGCTTGCACAAGTGGGGCTTCACGTGCATGCATGCTCATCCGCCACTTCCACAGCGCAGTTCCAAATTGACCACGGCCAGGTAGTGGGCCACAGCCCGGGGACCCCTGATTTAAATTACATAATATAAATTCCCCAACTTTTACAAAGTCTCTTTACTCAGAAAGTCAGTCATTCTGGGCCAATTGTAATTGTCGAACAACATGTCTATGTCTTTCAGATTGTCTTAAATTGGATCTAGGTTAATTCATCTTGCATTTTGTTATAGTATTCTCTAGCAGCTTGCTTTCATATTTTAAATAGTGAAATAGATTATTATTTATTTGATAAATTGATTACAAATCATGTGTTTATTGTACATATATGCCTCTTCCTCGTACAATGCTAGATACCTCACAGTGAAACAAAAACATACAAGGTGTACATTAAAATATTGTTCAAACACCCAAACACATCCTGTTAGCCACTTGCTTGCTTCTGTTATATTGTATTTATACTCCAAAGTACTGTTGGAAATAGTCTAAACTACTTTTAAACATGATAATAGCAAATCACCCATCCTAATCTCAACTAATTTAATTTTCTCCTTCACATGCCATGATGTGATTATAATGGATCCAGAGTCCAGAACTTGGTTAAACATTCTCTAAAGCTGCAGATCTATATCCTCCTAAAGTTAATGGTGACTAAGTCTCATCAAATTTACGCATTAATTGGGTAAAATTAACATAAAATATGTTATCTGGGCAAATTATGAAGAACCTGAATCTAATCCACCCTAATCTTCCCTCTCCTTGCTTATGGGCAATGGCTTTTCCTAGCTTGGTGTCCTCCAGCTGGATCTGAGTGACAGCTGCTAGAATTTCCAATCAACATGGTCAATCAGGAATTCTGGAAGCCACAACTGGACTCCATTGAATTGTGGAAATGTGCTGTACACTATGAAAGCATTAACACAGAGATTTTAATTCTAAAATTAATAACCATTTCAGGCATGTTAAGAAGCCCTCACATTTTCATGGTTTCATCACATTCCTAGGATATTTCTGTTTTTGCCAAACACACAATTTGTCTCATATTTTTAAGATAATAAACTGCAAGTATATTTGCTGCTGATTTTGATTCATTGATACCCAATTTACAATAGTCTTACTTCAAACTCGTCCAACAAAAATAAATTGACATCCAACTGGGTATAATGCCGATTCCAGAGGAACAGTTGCAATACTTCCTGCTTAATCCAATGCTCCTTCTCAGAAGTAAGGCACCTTATTTCTTTAGGGAAATCAGGTTTAGAGGTTTCTTCCCTTCTAAATGTACGCAAGAGAAATTATTTATAGGGGAAAGAGGTGGTTCCTACATATTCAATCTTTGATCATTGTTTTATAACTTCTATTATTTGGGAAGGCAGCACTAGGAAACTAAGTCATATTTTGAAATGTTTGACAGACTTGAATGCTTTACGTGATATAAAATGAAGGAGGCACTGTAATGTAAATAATCTAAAAACTTTGGATATAAAGATAACATTTTGCATTGTGTACTAGTAGTTCATTTTTTATGTATTACATCATAGGGGAATTGAGCTTTATTTTTTTTTGTTCTTTTATGGAGTGATGTTAGTGTGTTTATATTCTCACTCTTGAGGGTTTAGTTGTAATTCATCTGTCATTTTGTCAAAACACCATTTCCATTCATCTCTTGAAATGTTCTGTGCTGCATATTTTGTATTTTTACAGTCAACCCAGCATATTCTTCTGAATAAAATTGCTGCAAGCAGGCAATTGCTTTCAGATTTCCATCAGCCATCAGCGATGGAAATCTTGGTTTAAAATATTTCTTTGCTTAAGAACAAAAGATGGATTTCATATGTTGTATTTTCTACATTGGGTTGCATTGTTAGCAATATCTATGTATAGATGCATATATTTTGAACTGGAAAGATGCCTGTAAGCAAATTAATACAGCAGTTGCAAACTTCTCTGCCTAAATTAAAGTAGTCTAACTCTAAGATGTTAATACAGAAGCTGTTAAATATTATGCATATACAGTGAGTATAATCCAGCCATGATCTTTGTGCATAGGTTTAAAGATTTTGACTTGCTATATCAATTTGAGTAGGAATTAATTAGGCTCTTTTCTTCAATGAGTATTCTTTTCTGAATTACTAACTTTTGGATGTCACGTTGTTTAAAAAACTACTTCTGCTTGGACCAGGAGACTTTCCATTCCCCCCCCCCCCCCCCAGTTTACCTATACATCATCCAAGCTGCTTCAGAATGATTTGGAGTTTATTCGAGGAATGGATATACTGCTGGTTGAACACCAAGTTCCTGTTTGGAGTGTGGCCTCAGTGTTTCCTGATTGTATTAGTTTGTAATAGTATGAAATGACTCTCAGTAATACTTTCCTTGCATGGGATCAGATAGCAAGAAGATGTAGAGAAGTATTCTGCAGCCATTTCCATGAACATCATCTAACCATCACCATGCTAATAATAGTAATGGACACAGTTTTTGTATCTGTTACTGAGTAATGTAAGATGCTGTAAATCTCTAGTGAGAAAGTAGCTTTGGTGCCTATTACTGAATTCCCCCATAAAAACATCCCAAATTCAATTATATTTTTGAAACACTGAAAAAAAATTGTCTTTAAAGAAGAAGGCTTAAGTTGTTGCTTTCTTTCACATTTCATTCAAATGGATGATGTCATCTATTTAGTACCTAAATTTGAATAAATGAAACCTGAAATAGCTGTCAGGGTCATTCAGATCATATAAACATTGAACCCTATAAAACATGGATTAGTTGGGAGATTACATGCTTTGCAAGCATCCTGCAGTAAAAGGAGATAGGAAAGAAGAAAAAAGCAGAGTTCGGTCCAAGATCAGGAAGCTGGCTTTGGAGAAGAATACAATTAATTATGGTATAATCATTTATGAAGCAAAAAGAAGTCCTGAAATAAAATCTTCCAAGGCACAGTATGTGATCAATGTTGTGAGGTATCGTCTGGCTTTCAGTGGCTGCATTCACAATCTCCATTTTATTAAGAATAAAATATATACAAGTACTCCTCGACTTATGACCACAATTGAGCCTAACATTTCCATTGCTAAACAAGACAGTTGTTAAGTGAGCTTTGCCCCATTTTATGACTTTCTTGCCAGAGTTGTTAAGTGAATCATTGCAGTTGTTAAGTTAGTAACACAGTCGTTAATTGAATCTGGCTTCCCCATTGATTTTGCTTGCCAGAAGGTAACAAAAGGTGATCACATGACCCCGGGACACTGCAAACGCATGCCGGTTGCCAAGCGGTTGAATTTTGATCACATGACCATGGGGATGCTGCAATGTTCCTAAGTGTGAAAAATGGCCATAGGTCGCTTTTCTCACTAAATAAATGGCTGTAACTGGAGGACAGCCTGTATCTCGAATAAACAGTTGTGGGATTCTCATAGAGGACTATAATACCCTGCTGGTGGCTCAGCAGACTGATAGCGTTGTGATTAACACCAGCTGTCTGCAAATACTGTAAGTTCGAATCTCACCAGGCTCAAAGTTGACTCAGCCTTCCATCCTTTCTAAGGTAGGTAAATTGAGGACCCAGTTTGTGGGAGCAATAAGCTGACTTTGTATAAATATACAAAAGTATGAAGGCTATTGCTTAATGCATTGTAAGCAGCCCTGAGTCTCTGGAGAAGGGCGGCATATAAATCAAATTTAAAAAAAAAATACCTGATTTGCCTGGTTAAGGCAGCAGGCTAGAAACCAGGAGACAGTGAGTTTTGATGCCACTTTAGGCACAAAGCCAGCTGGGTGATCTTGGCCAGTCATTCTTGTCTTAGCCCTTATAAGCAGGCAAGGGAAACCCTGGGAGAAACTTCCCCAAGAAAACTGTAGGGACTTATCCCTGCAGTCTCTGAGATTCAGACAGGGTTGAATGGTAACCAAACAAAACAAACGAAATGCTTAACCCAGTCATTTGCAGTTCGTCGCTTGCATCATAACGTATTTTTTAAACCTATTTGTTTTTGTTTATCCAATAAATAGCCCCATCAAACTGTTTTGCCAGTTAGTTAACCAGGGCATGACAGCTGTTCCAGCCAAATTTTTAATTTGTTTAAAAACCGCTCTGAGGGTTAATTTCCAGATAGC